TACCCCCACGGACATGCACTCTTGCGGATGCGAGAAATCATATCTCGTAACACATGTGCATTACTCTTTCAAATGGAGCACACCTTAGAAGGGCATGTTACCATTTTCCATTGTATATTCACATGTTATGGGAACACTTGGGGTCAGGGTTCTCGCTCATGCCCTCTTTATTCCTAGACTTCACACACACTTGTAGGGATTCTATATTAATTGGCATTCTTAGAGTCTATACTCTTGCCTTGACTCACATAATCATGAGGTGCGCTCTTATCAACCATGACTAGAGGAGAGAATCAAACCTCACGGTTCCAAATAAGGCCCCCCATACAAACCTCGTGAAAGGTGGTTTTAACTTTCCAGATCCCTATTACTTAATATTTGGTGAGTCAGTCATTCTTATTCATTCGCACTGTGACCAGGAATTATCCTAGAATTGTGTGCTCCAGGCCTTGAAAGGCCATAACTCCAACGATAATTATGATCGTACTAGTTCTGAGACCGTCTGATCTTGTCTGATGTCAATAGTGGTGGATAACTGAGAAGTATTGTTCAATGGCACTCGTTACTTCTCTTTGACATCTGAGATGTATTGTTCAATTGCACTTCTCACCTGTCTATTTTTTTTGATATCAAGGCTACAAGTGGGTAAGACATCGCTTTAAATAATATATTTTCTTTTTACCTCTTTTTACCAATGTTTTAAAAACCAGACCAGCCAAGTTAATTGGTATATGAAAATCTAGTCCTGTTTAGCAAACCAGACGTTCGGATTGCTTTACAAGATTGATTTCTAGCACGAGAAGAAATTTGAAAAACTATTTAAATAATAATTTAATTCTATTAATAAAAAATAAAAACATTAAAATTGAGTGATTCATGTGATCCAAATCACCTAGTTCTCCAATAGAATCACTAGGTTCTCTAATGGAACCAAGTCAGTCCACCAATTTTGGATCGATTCTAGGTTATAACTAGGAATTGGATCAACATTGATTCTAAATTCAAATTGCAAAATCTTGAAACAATGTATTTTACTTAGTTGCAAATATTATTTTTTAAAAACCAGAAGTAACTCGGGAGCTATATTTACATATGTTTTTGCATAAGTGACCTAAGCACCATCTAGCTTGATCCTACAAGTATATAAAACAAGAACCAATGATAGAAGAGATCACACACTCGTATTATTTAGTCTAACATAGTAAAGCATGGTTTGATTCATTTTGAATGTTACTTAATTAGTTATTTGCCTTGTAAATTTACAATACATGCATATGATCAGTTGGGGGCACCAATCAAATGAGGTGGCAAACCACAATAATATGGTGCATTGGTAATAAGGAGAGAGATTTATCTCAATTTAAGTCATCAACAACTTCTCCCAGATCATTTACATTTGATACAAGAAGGTTATAATCATTATTGACTGTTAGATGTGAAATCGGGTGGGTTGATTGGGTACAAAGTAGAATATATATATATATATATATATATAAAAATATAAAATGAGATCATACCTTTGCTATAAGGTGGTCACAATTAATCTTGACCATTAGATGTGAAATTGGATTTTAGTGTTTAATCCATTGACCAAGCTCAAACTTCAAAACACAAATTTATTGAATTTTGTGACACACCTAGGTTGTCAAATTTCTCATCGGATAGTTGCAAGTAATTATGACCTCCTTGTACCAAAAAAATTTCAAGATTGTTTTGTTCCAATTATATAGAGCTGAGGCTCTATATAGACTACACACACACACACACACACACATACACACATACATACATATATATATATATATATAAATGGAATATGCTACGATACGCCGATTCGTCTACCGCTACAGCAAGCGCCGAACAACCCAGATCGAATATGGGCCGATCTGACGATCAAGGTTGTCCGATAGTATTTTATTTTTCATTTTTTTTTATAAATCAGAATGATCTGAAATTTAGAACGTATATTCATAAAAAATAGCCAAATCTATGAAAATATCAAGACAATATTTTACATGAAATAAATTGACCAAAATACCCTTGAAATGTTTCAAGGGTACTTTGGTAAAAAATAATTTGTGAATTATTTTTTTATATTCTTTTTAGGTGTGCCTCACTAATATATACACACTCCTCAAATTTTAGATCATTCATATTTGTAGAAAAAAAAGTTAAATTCAAACACTCTCGAACAACCGTGACCGTCAGATCGGCCTAGATTCGATCTGGGCCGTTGGGCATTTACTGTAGCGGTAGGCGCATGAGCGTACAAGACTTTTTCCATATATATATATGGAAGATACTACAAAATGCATATAGTCGAAAATGAATAGGGATTTCACATACCCTCATCACCGTCCAAAGTTCATCACACGGTCACGATTGTCTGGTAGTGTTTCATTTTTTATTATTTATTAAAAATCATAATAACTTGAAATTTAGAGCGTGTGGTCATAAAACATTGACAAATCTACGAAAAATATCAAAAAAATATTTTACATGAAAATAATTGACCAAAATACCCCTAAAGCTTTTTGGGGGTATTTTGGTCAATTTGGTTTACGAATTATTTGGTTTATATTTTTATTTGGTGTGCCTCACTAAGATATACATGCACTCCAAATTTCAGGTCATTTCGATTTATAGAAAAAAAAATGAAAAATGAAACACTATCAGACATTCGTGACCGTGCGATGAACTTTGGACGGTGATAGAGGTAGATGAAATCATTGTTTATTTTCACATATAGGCGTTGGGAAGAATTTTTCTATATATATATATATATATATATATGAAAAAGATTGTATATGGTTGCAACCTTAAAAATGTAGAATTACAAATACGCTTTTAAAGTCCATCGGAAAAGATTGTTTTAATGTTGAAATACCTTCGAATTGATCATCTCGACAATGAGATTCATGAATATGGAAAAAAAAGATTTTGAGTTCCAGAAATAATGTATCTTGCAATACATTATCTAGACTGTCTATTTTCAAGATTTTCATATGTTTATAGATGTACTTGATTTTGACCATATTTGGAATTTAAAATTTTATAATTAGATGCAGAAATATATTTTGAGATAATCTTAATAACTTTTTACACCAAAATTCTATGTTATGATAAAATTTAGAGATGCACCTTAATTGGATTGTTTAAGGTTGCAACCTTATTGAATGGGCTTATACTATTCCATGAGCTAGTGGGCTCACCCAAGCTTTTTCCATATATATATACATATATATATATGGGTGTGATTTGTATAGCGCCAAGGCTCTAAACAATCAAAATAAAACCCGCCTTCAAATAGTGTCGAGAAATATGGTTTCAATACTAGAAATCTTTGTGATAGCCTTACAATATATTTTCATCTCTAATTATAAAATTTCAAGCTTCGATAATAATGTATATTGAGCAGATCTATGAAAACATGAAAATCTTGAAAATTGAAATCCATTTTTTTCTTATGTCCATATATCTTGATGTCGAGATGATCGATCAGAATATTTGGGCATCAAAACATCTTCTTTTAATAAGATTTTTGAAGTGGGCTCTAATTTGATTGTTTAGAGCCTCGATTCTATATTAACATTTTCCCTCTCTCTCTATATATATATATATATATATTTATTGAGAGAGAGTTATAATGTGTAGCTGAGCATGTGTGACAAAGCCTTGTAATGCCTAGCTGAGCATGTGTGACAAAGCGTTGTAATGCCTTTTATAGAGTTTGCCTCACAAGAGTGCTGTGCACATCCTTTATGTTGAACTAATCTCCCTCAATGATGGGGGCATATTACCGTGGTTAATGCGCTCAAGCAATGTTGTCAAATTCGTTTCGGAGTCTTTTTTGGTTTGGTAAGAAAGATGAAACAATTGGGTGCTTGGACTAATTCAGAGGAAGGCTTTAGACTTTTTTAAAATTTAATATAAGAATCTAGATGTTTATATATAAAATGTATACAAATAATAGAAAAAAATAAAATAATTCTTTTTTAAGTTTTCAAAAAAATTAAAATTTTAATAATATATTTATATAACTATTTCTTTGCTGGCTGAAGCAGTCCCGAAGCAAACGCGAAGAGATTCGAATTTGATCAAAGCAATCTGAATCTAACCAAAATGACAACACCAGGCTTCGCTTCTCTTCAGTTTATATCTAAAATCCGAAAGCTCCGGCCTCGACCGAAGCGAGGCAAATTTGATAACAGCTCAAGGGAAAATGACGACCAAATGAGAAAAACTGGGCATTTTAAAGAAAAGAAGCCCCACTTTCAATTTTCACCTACCTTTTTTTATAAAATGCAAATGTCCGATTTTGGTAAGCTTTCAAGAAAATTTGCCCCACTTTCATTCTCAATGAAAACTTTATGCTCATGTTTTATAGAAAATACCCAATTCTCTATAGATAGAAATGTTAAAAAGAAAAAAACATAATAATAATAACTTGGCCAGTTCCGTTCCGCCCGAGTGGCCATGGGACCAGGAGGGGACCAATATGAGTGCATTAAAATTGCTCAATTTAAATATAAAAATAATAAAAACCCATCCATCCTCAATCTTTCTGCCTTATTTCTTCACTAAAATTCACAAAATTAGTATCTAAACTTTTATAAAAGTATACAGAAGCTCAAACAGGAAATGACCTATCAATATTTATTTTTTTTTATAAAATAATAAAAATAAAAAATGTACTACCTTGATTTTGCTTTTTAAAATCCATAAAAATAATACTTATACAAATCTTTGAATTTTTTTTTGAATCATTTTAGGCCAAATTGGCCCAATCTGCTATATCCACTAATCCGGATCGCAAATCCATTGATCTGGCTGGTTTTCCAGAAGACTGATCCACCTGGCTGATGAGGGATTTGAAATATTGCTCTGCACAATCACTCTTGTATTTATCAATATACTATGTACCAAAAACTAATATCGGATTAAAGAAGGAAGAGATTAATCCCTATCGCTTGACATCACCTTACTTTCCTAATATGCAGAGGAGACTCAGGAGTTGACGCGAGATGCAGATACAAAATGCACCATGGCAAAGCTCCAAGTTGCCACACTTGTGAACACTGGTCTGGGATATAAGAACAACGACGTAAGCTTCACTAGTTACCCTGTCATCGGTAGCCATCACCGTCTCCAAGCCTCGGGTGGCTGCCTCGACAGTCCCCGCGATGCACTGCTCTCAGCATGCCCGTGGGATCCAAGAGTGAAGGGAGAGTTCTTCCACCAAACAACAATCAGCATAGGGCTCTCAAATGCCAAGGATTTCATAATAGACGTGAAGATGCTAAGAGACATGGTGCCCAAGGGCTTGTGTGGAGTGGAGCTATATAATGGGATCCTTATGCGCTATGTTAAGGCCTCAAGTGCTTACTTAGGCAAGCAAGAGGACGCCATTGATGTGGATATCACTTACTACAGGAGCAAAGATCCTATGAAGCCTAGGCTATATGAGGATGTGGTAGAGGAGATAGAACAAATGGCACTGTTTAAGTATGGGGGTTTGCCGCACTGGGGGAAGAATAGGAATTTGGCCTTTGATGGGGTGATGAGGAAGTATGCAATGGGTGGTGAGTTTTTGAAGGTGAAGAAGAATTATGATCCCATGGGGTTGTTCTCTAGCGAGTGGACCGACCAAGTGTTAGGAATCAATGGTGGAGTGAGCGTGGTGAAGGAGGGGTGTGCGCTAGAAGGCCTTTGCATTTGTTCACAGGACATTCATTGTGCCCCCGCCAAACAGTACTTTTGTCGGCCTGGTAAAGTTTATAAGGATGCTCGAGTGTGCACACGAATCTAAGTCAAAATTTGTTGTTTTCTATTTCTTGAATGAAAGGACGGTGGGCATGAGGTTTGGGGCTTGAGCAATGATGGCGGTTTAGCTTGAGATAAGCGTGAGAGTCTTTTTAGTTTGGTGCGGAAAATGAAACACTGCGATATTTACATCAATTCATGGAAAGACTTTAGATTTTTTTTTTATTATTTAATATAAATAAATTAAATATTTATAGATAAAATAGATGAAAATAATAAAAAAATTTTAAAAAAAAATTTAACAAAAATAAAAATACTTTGATAGAGATATTTACATACTTAACCCAAAGAGGTCGAAGCTTTGGTTGACTCAACTTGAAACATACCTAACTGTGACTAAAGCCGCAGCACTCGCTTCGCTTCAATCTAGGCCTAAAATTCGAAAGGCCGAAGGGTAGCAAATTTGACAACGTGTTTAGCCGTTGACATTTGCAACGCTGTATCTTAACTTCGATTCCGCTGAACTGATCAAAAAGAAAGAAAAAGGAATGTAAGGGCATTGGTTAACCAACATCCATATATATGAAAACTTACGGTTTTTTTATTTATTAGGTTGAAGGGCATTTACTATTTGATTCAAAGAAGATGGAACTGGGTTGCATACGAGGATGATGGGCACCTTGTGGCGTGGGGTGTTACATTACATACATTTTGACCTACACGAGAGCGTTGTGGCCCTTGCGCTTCAGGCAGCAAGTCATGGTGCCTCAAATGTTTGTCGCTTCTGGATCATACATTATAAGACTCCTTACCCTTGATACAAGAAACTCATGATTGCCCATAGCCATCAAATATGAAATTTCAGGTTCGGGGATGTGCCACAAATTTCAGAAAAAGATATTTTGAATTTTGAATGGGATCGTTGACAGCCACCCAATTTAACATCTAACAACTGAGAGTAATCGTGACTTGCTTTCTCTTAATTTAAATGGGTATTCTTCTACCGTTATTTTCTAATGCCAAGCAAATTTAATTGTCAATGCCCACTAGGGCATCATATGGTCTCGTGAACTTTTTCTCAGCTGAAACAGGTGACGAGGTAAGGCAAATTACGTGTATCAGAGTGAGTATAGTAAATAGAATGCAAGATTATAAAAAGTCAGTATATTGAAATTCCTTTTTGAGAAAAAGATACGTAGCCCACTCTATGAATTTAAAATCCAAGTTAATCATTGTGTCCACTAAAAGCCCGTGAATCTATTCTAAGCGATAAAAGAAGGCGTAAACTTTTTCTATCTTTTTTTTTTTTTCTTTTCCCCTACTGGAAGAAAATACAAAAACATCCTTTTCATTTACTAAAAACCATGCTTTATTTCTTACACATCTTATGTGAAAAAAGGACACATGTGATCTATTCAAGTATATAATAAATTTTTTTTTTTTCAAATCTTTTATTTTCTTCATGATCTAGATCACTCACAAGAAGTACTTTTATAACATAATAACTTCAAATAAAATAAAATAAAAGAATACAATAGGATTTCAAGTACATGAAGCCATGCAAGCCATACTTTTCATTAACAAAAGAAAAGATACAACCTATGTTTGGAAATAAAATAAATAATAAAAAAAAATGGAAGAAGCAAAAAGATCGTGCCGGAGATCATCTCAACCGGGCTTCTTACACCCCACATCGAGTCACTATCTTCCGATGGCGCAGGATCTAATGGTCAACCTTCAATCTCAATCGAGAAAACAAGTTTGGACAAGCCACATCAATGGAACGTGAACTCCTTTGATCACAAACTCAAACCTTAGGTAAATCCCCTTAGCAACCCAGTTTGAGAGAGATTGATTCACTTTTTGTTATACTTTAAAACCCTTAACCATATAAATCCATAGCTGAGAGATAGGAGAAAGAAAAACTCCATAGCGTAAACCTTTAGCCCCTTTTCATAATGTAGGAAAGAGATATCCAAGAGGTGGATAGAGCGGGGAGTGCCGCTTTAGGCTTTCTTGAGAGAGAGAAAGATTTCCAAGATGAGAGAGAGAGACTTTCTCGAGTGGAGCGTACCCCCTAGATGGATGAGAGAGCGCGAGAGATAGAAAGTTTTTGGTGTAGAGAATTATGGGCAAGGGATCCTGCTTTTATAGTGCAAAAGTAAGATTTAGAGTTCATTTAGAATTTCTATGGCTTGCCTCTTCTTGTGGATTGAATATAAACCATTGATCATGGGTAACTTGTAGGGTGAAAGATTTGAGCCCTCCAATCTATAGAAGAGCCATCAACATGCTATGGAAGGTGCTAGAACATTTATCCTCATATTTTCTTTTACCATTATCTCATCAATATAAATCAAATAAAATAACATTAATCATAATGTTGTGCTTTATCCAAAAATATGCACAAAACACTTTCTAGAATATTCATTCAATTCTTTCTCAAAATAAATCACCACTCCAATTCTCATGATAACTTGGCTTCAATGCCAAAGTTATTACTCTTATATACTTCAACCCCTATAAAAGAGGAAAGACTCCTAAAAGTAGGGCGTGATATCTAAAAGGTGGCTACATGAGCCCACCAACTTAGGGCATGGTGGGCCCATATGCACAATGGGCCCCCAATGATTTTTAAATATTTTTTAAAAATTAATAACAGATTTTAGAATTAATTTGAATTTTTAAAACATTAAAAAAATCAATATCTCCATTTTTACAAATCCAAATTTTACAAATCCAAATTTTACAAACAAATATCCAGAGAACTAGAAAAATTCAAATAATAATTTTAAAATCATATTATTATAAAATAAATACAAGTAAATTCATGGGATAGGCTAAGGATACATATGGTTTAGGAATAAACATTTGGGGCACTCCACTTTCAATCGTGGACTAGGGTTCACACTTGCTTTATCCACCGACCTAGTGTTTCTCATGACCCATAGTCCATGCAAATGCTCATTAGTAGGACACCAAAGCCTGGCCGATAGGCCAAGTGGTCGTAACCCTAGTTTTGTAGATTTCAGATTCCCCCTAGAGACATGTCAAGGTCACCTACACCTGATGCGACGATAGCTCCGCATAAATGTATCTCTCACACATGCATAAGCTTCACCATAAAAGGTGATCCGCTTTACCAAAATGGCTATCATTATACATGCCATGTGATGGCACACAGATGAGGTTTTTCCCCTATCTCTGAAGGCCACCATCATATACAAGGGTCACACAGTCCCTCGGCTCACTCATATGGGCATACTCTAACCGCATCAAGGGATAACATATTGTAACCCTTATCGAATAATTTTTTATGCTCAGGTCACATAGGTTTTTTCCAATTAGACTGACTAAGCACATCAAACACAGTCTACGTATCAACAAACATCGTTTGCTTAGTATGGTGCACAAGGGACTACATTCCTACTAAGTTCATGTTCCATTATATTATTTCATTTTACAAGCACTCATAAGGCCTTCAATGACCACACTCACCCAACATCTCCTACTTAGCTTTTGAAGGTTTTACATTCTCTCTTCCTCACTTTCTCTCATCCCCATCTCTTTGTCCCAATTAATATCTCTCTCTCAAACATTTTTCACATATTCTGTCTCAATACATTAATCATGGATTTCGCCATCAATTTTTTTACAAAATGGCTTATAGAGGCAACACCATTTTCTCTTTGTTGCTCATATTTCATCCCAAAACTGGTCATAGTCTATCTTTCATATCCCATCGTAAATCATGGACCTGATGTCGCAGAAGATCATCACGTACCCTCATCGCAAGAGGTCGTATGTTCATGAGCTCAAAAGAGTTCTTCAAACAAGTTGCTCCCTTTTATAGCCGTACAAGCAGTGCCACAAATTCGGGTTAATGGGTAAACAACATTATATTATGTTATTCCTACTGATCTTTAATGTTTCTCTGCTACCACCAAGTCTCTCTTTCTATCCCTTCATTTTGAATAAACTAATATATTTTTATAACTATTGTGTTTCTTCTTCTTTTTGTTATTCCTAGATCAAATGCTCTTCACATAGAGTGTCATATTTTGCCAACTCTATATTACCTCTCTCCGAAGTTTATTACAATAAACCATACTCATGGCACACTATATAACTTTTTAAATGAGCTCTAAAAAGGTCTTCATTATGAGGAATCCAAATAAGTGCCTTAACATGTCACATCATTTAATTGACTGCATAATAGAATATGAACATCCCATGATAAAAAAATATGATATCTCTCAACTCATAAAGAGTTTATCTCTTAATCCTTTTGAATATTGAGATAGACATTGAATAGTGGGTCTACGAGTGACATTCACGTCACATTTTCAATTTTCTCAATAGAAATTCACGTTGCGCAACTCTCACTAAAATATTTGTTTCTCTCAATTCACAAAATATTTCTTCCTAAAATATTTTATGATAAAAACTAGACTCAAATCCAATTCATAAAATCATGGTGTGAATCCAAAATAATATTTTTTTCTTTAGAGAAATAAATAAGTAACATTCACATTACAAAATAAATCATACTACAGAATTCTAAGATGAACACTTATCAAGCAAAATTCTCTTTTCTCTCTACCCTCAGGGAGTTTTGATTTCAAACGAATTTTATTTGAAAGTAGACAGATAATGGTAACACATATGGTTCTACAAGCCTCATATAACTCTATAAATATAAATATAACTATTCATATCGCAATGAAGAAACATATCAAATTGAAGAAAATTCAAAATGACAACTCTGCAATCTAAAGTTTTTATTCCTCTCTTTCCATAGATATTTATCTCTCAAATAAATTTTATTAGAAACTAGACTCAAAATGGAAGTCTATAAATTAGGTGTAGACCATAAAATATTCTATTAAGAATAGAAATAAAATCATGACTTCCAAATTATTGAAATAGTATTCATTGTAGAAAATGTCACTTGCATACCATCCAATAAATTGACCACATCTTTCAAAGCACAACAATTTATTTGATGAAACTGCTTTTGTTTGAAAGTAGACTCAATTTGATGAGCTATGATCAAATTTCAGCTAAAATAAGGTCATATGGTTAGTGTACGAAATCA